CAGGCAAAGACACCTCCAAAAAGGAGAACTATAGGCCAATCTCCTTAATGAAGCATTGATGCAAAAATCCTCAACAAAATAATGGCAAACGAATTCAGCAACACATCAAAAGATTATTCACCACGACCAGGTAGGCTTCATCCCAGGGATGCAGGGGTGGTTCAACATAGCGAAAATCCAATAACGTAATAAACCACATTAACAGAAGCAAAAGACAAAACCACTTGATCATGCTCAATAGATGCAGAAAAGCCTTTGATAAGATCCAACACCATTTCATGATAAAAGCTCTAAGAAAACTGGAATAGAAGGAAAGTACTCAACATTATAAAGCTATATATGACAAACCTACAGCCAGCATTAATATCTTAATGGAGAAAAATTAAAACCATTCCCTCTAAAATCAGGAACCAGACAGGAGCCACTATCTTACTCCTATTCAACATAAGTACTGGATTCCTAGCCAGAGCAATTAGGCAAGAGAAGGAATAAAAGGAATACAAATAGGTAAAGAAACTGTCAAAAATATCCTATTTGCAGATGACATGATCTATACCTTAAAGACCCAAAAAACTCTACTCAGAAGCTTCTAGACATCATCAATAGCTATAAGCAAGGTAGCAGGATATAAAATCAACATAGAAAAATCATTAGCATTTCTATACACTAACAAATGAGCAAACTGGAAAAAGAATATGAAAACAATTCCATTTACAATAGCCTCAAAAAAAATCAAATACTAGGTGTAACTCTAACAAAGATGTGAAAGACCTCTACAAGGAAAACTATATCACTTCTGAAGAAAGAGATTGAGGAAGACTATAGAAAGTGGAGAGATCTCCCATGCTCATGGTGGTAGAATCAACATAGTAAAATGTCTATACTCCCAAAGTAATCTACATGTTTAATGCAATTCCCATCAAAATTCCAATGACATTCATCAAAGAGATTGAAAAATCTACATAAATTTATATGGAAACACAAGAGGCCACGAATAGCCAAGGCAATACTCAGTCAAAAGAACAATGCTGGAGGTATCACAATACCTGACTCAAACTATATTCAAAGCAAACATATAAAAACAGCATGGTACTGGCACAAAAAACAGACATGAAGACCAGTGGAACAGAATAGAGGACCAGATATGAAGCCACAACTATAACCAACTTATCTTTGACAAAGGAGCTAAAAATATAGATGGAGAAATAGCAGCCTCTTCAACAAAAACTGCTGGGAAAACTGGTTAGCAGCTGCAAAAACTGAACTAGATCCATGTATATCACCTATACCAAGATTAACTCAAAATGGATCAAGGATCTTAAATCAGACCCCAAACTCTTAAGTTGAATCAGGGAAAGGGTAGGAAATACTCTGGAGTTAAGTAGGTATAGGTAAGAATTTCTCAATGAAACCCAGCAGCACAGCAACTAAGAGATAGCATAGATAAATGGGACGTTCATATAAACTAAAAAGCTTCTGTCATCAAAAGAAATGGTCTCTAAACTGAAGAGAACACCCACAGAGTGGGAGAAAATATTTGCCAACTATACATCAGACAAAGGACTGATAACCAGAATATATAGGGAACTTAAAAAACTAAATTCTCCCAAAACTAATGACCAATAAAGAAATGGGCAAGGTGAACTAAACAGAACTTTCTCAAAAGAAGAAATTCAAATGGCCAGAAACACATGAAAAAATGCTCACCATCTCTAGCAATAAAGGAAATGCAAATTAAAACCACGCTAAGATTCCACCTCACCCCTGTTAGAATAGCCATCATCAGCAACACCACCAACACAGGTGTTGGCAGGATGCGGGAAAAAGGAACCTCTTACACTGTTGGTGGGAATGTAGACTAGTACAGACCACTCTGGAAAAAATTTGGAGGCTACTTAAAAAGCTGGACATCGATCTACCATTTGATCCAGCAATACCACTCTTGGGGATATACCCAAAAGACTGTACTTACTCAGAGGCACCTGCACACCCATGTTTATTGCGGCACTATTCACAATAGCCAAGTTATGGAAAAGCCAAGATCCCCAGCACTGACGAATGGATTAAGAAAATGTGGTATCTATACACAATGGAATTTTATGCAGCCATGAAGAAGAACGAAATGTATCATTCGCTGGTAAATGGAGGAATTGGAAGAACATCATTCTGAGTGAGGTTAGCCTGGCCAAAAGACCAAAAATCGTATGTTCTCCCATATGTGGACATTAGATCAAGGGCAAACACAACAAGGGGATTGGACTATGAGCACATGATAAAGCGAGAGCACACAAGGGAGGGGTGAGGATAGGTAAGACACCTAAAAAACTAGCTAGCATTTGTTGCCCTTAATGCAGAGAAACTAAAGCAGATACCTTAAAGCAACTGAGGCCAATAGGAAAAGGGGACCAGGACTAGAGAAAAGGTTTAGATCAAAAGAATTAACCTAGAAGGTAACACCCACGCACAGGAAATCATGTGAGTCAATGCCCTGATAGCTATCCTTATCTCAACCAGCAAAACCCTTGTTCTTCCTATTATTGCTTATACTCTCTCTACAAACAAAATTAGAAATAAGGGCAAAATAGTTTCTGCTGGGTATTGAGGGGGTGGAGAGGGAGGGGGCGGAGTGGGTGGTAAGGGAGGGGGTGGGGGCAGGGGGAAGAAATGAACCAAGCCTTGTATGCACATATGAATAATAAAAGAAAAAGGAAAAAAAAAAGAGTAACAGAGGGGGTGAATTTGAAAAAAAAAATGTTAAACACAAAAGAGAAAATAATGCAGTCAATAAATGGGCAGATGATCATAACAGAAAATTCTCAAAAGAAATACAAATAGCCAATAAATACATGAAAAAATGTACATCTTTAGCCATCAGGGAAATGCAAATTAAAAACACATTATTTTATTGCACTCCACTCAGAATGGCTGTCCAATCAAGAAAACAAACAGCAAAAAGCTGGTAATCGTAAATGTTTGTATGTCCAGCTATTCAGGAAGGGAAGGCAGGAGCATCTCAAGTTCAAGGCCAGGCATGGCAAAGTTAGGGAGAGCCTGTCTCAAAATCAAAACAAACAAACAAACAAAACAAGCAAAACACCCAAAATATACAACCAACATAATGGCAAGGTTTTGGGGGACAGTACCACTATGGAAATCAGAATGGAGGTTCCTCAAAAAAGTAAAAATAGATAGAATTACTATAGGATCCGTTTATATCACTCCTGGACATATACCTGAAGGAATAAGTCAGCATACAATAGAGATACTTGCAACTCTATTCATAACAGCCAAAATATGGAATTAGCCTAGGTGTCCATCAACTGATGCATGGATAAAGAAAATTAGGTATATATACACACAGAATATTATTCAACCATAAGGAAGAATAAAATTATGTCCTTGGCAGGAATATGGATATAACAGGAGGTCATTATGTTAAGTGATATAAGCCAGACTCAGAAAGACAACTATCACAGGTTTTCTCTGATAATGCAGAATTGAGATTTAAAAAAAAGAAAAAAACAGGCACAAAAGTCGAAAGGGGATTACTTGGAAGAGGAATTAGACCAGAGGAAGGGGAATGGTCAGAAGGGTGAACTTGATCAATATATGGAATACATGAAAATGTCACAATGAAATCCATTATTCTCTACAATTAATATACACTAATAAAAAGGTTCATTTAGGATCTTCCTTTAGAAATGACGTTGGAATAACTGATCTGTTTCTAAATAAATTTTAAAGAATACAAACAAACTAGTTCTGAACATAATTTGACCACTAGTTCTTAAAGTAGCAATAGACTTATTAAAGATATTATGTACATTTCCTCTTCTAAAAATGGTCAAAATGATATGAAATAAATGCCTACAGAGCAATAGAAGATGATAAGAATAATTAGCTTTGTCTAAAATTTTTCAAACTTTAAGAACTTGTTATAAAAGATTTGGCTTACTAAATTAGTATTTAAGAACTGACAAATTATAGAGTTTATCTCCTTTGGGTAAATAACATAAGTTAAATATTTTAAAATCTATATTTTAAATTATTGAATGCCTTTAAGTTAAAAGGAATATCTTATGATTAAGCACAAAGACTAAGTAACTGTATACCAAAAGATTTTCCAGAATTCTGGGTTTAATTCTTGAGTTTCCACTAAATTAACAATTCCTATGTTTTTCCTTCAAATCATTTGACTTACAAAAATGTTTGCAGTTTTTCATCTGGTCACCTAATGTCATATGAAACACTGCTGCTTTTCCCTTTACACATCCTTATCCATTGCTATACTACTCTAAATCTAACCTTGGTTTTCCTGAAGAGCAAAACATCCCTTGTTGATTATGGACGTGAGAACACTGTCCAAACCTTCACTTTCTTCTTAGAGACTCCTCTTGAATAAGCCTGATTTAATTATGCTTATTAATCATTTATACTTAAAGAAACTAAAACTTTCAAGCAGGCTATACGCTGACCTGCTGGCCTGGCCACCGCCCTCGAGGCCTTGGGACATCGTCTCCCGCCAAACCACCGCTTCTCGCTCGCCTTAAGTCCAGGCTGCAGCGGCGAAAGCCTGGTCGACTCCGGGAGCGACTGCAGCGAGCGCCGGGCATCCGAGGAGCGGCCACCCCCGCGACCTCACCCGGCTGTCTCCCGCCCCGAGGCACCTGCCCTCCTGTGGCCATCCCTCCTCGTCACCCGCCGGCTACGCGACGCCCAGGCTGCGGACTCCGGCCCCGGTGCAAGATGGGGACAGCCGCGTGACTGAGCATTCACGAGACTCTGCTGCGTGGAGACCCCCACCCCCCACCAGGACTGAGTTTGGGGCAGGGAAAGGGCGAGACCAGGACTCGGGTCATTTGTTAATTGTGATCGCGTGAAGCTTGCAGCCCTCTGGCCTTCTTGGGGGGAAGTGTCTACTGTCCCAAGGCCAAGAACACGGTGAGCCAGTCTAATCCGCATCTGTAGAATTGGCGCCCTTGCTCGCTGGGGAAGTGGCCATGACACTGTTGGAAGACTGGTGCAGGGGGATGGATGTGAACCCCCAGAGGGCTCTACTGGTGTGGGGGAGCCCGGTGAACTGTGATGAGGCAGAAATTGAAGAGACCCTCCAGGCTGCGATGCCCCAGGTCCCCTATCGAGTACTTGGGATAATGTTCTGGAGGGAAGAGAATGCCAAAGCAGCCTTGTTAGAGCTCACTGGTGCTGTCGATTACTCCGCGATCCCCAGGGAGATGCCAGGCAAAGGAGGGGTCTGGAAGGTGATCTTTAAGACCCCCACTTCCGATGCTGAGTTTTTAGAAAGGTTGCACCTGTTTCTAGCTAGAGAAGGGTGGACCGTGCAAGATGTTGCCCGTGTCCTTGGGTTTCAAAACCCTGCTCCAGTCCCAGGCCCAGAAATGCCAGCAGAGATGCTCAACTATATTTTGGATAATGTCATTCAGCCCCTTGTTGAATCTATATGGTACAAGAAACTGACGCTGTTCTCTGGGCGGGACATCCCGGGGCCTGGGGAGGAGACCTTTGATCCCTGGCTGGAGCACACTAATGAAGTCATAGAGGAGTGGCAGGTGTCTGATGTAGAAAAGAGAAGGGTTTGATGGAGAGTCTGAGAGGCCCTGCCGCTGATGTCATCCGCATCCTCAAGACCAACAACCCTGCCATAACCACCGCTGAATGCCTGAAGGCTCTGGAGCAGGTGTTTGGGAGCGTTGAGAGTTCCAGGGATGCGCAGGTCAGGTTTCTGAACCCGTACCAGAACCCAGGAGAAAAGTTATCAGCTTACGTCATTCATCTGGAGCCTCTGCTGGAAAAGGTGGTGGAGAAGGGGGCCATTGATAAAGATAACGTGAACCAGGCCCGCCTGGAGCAGGTCATTGCGGGAGCCAACCATAGTGGGGCCATCCGAAGGCAGCTGTGGCTGACCGGGGCTGCAGAAGGGTCGGCCCCTAACCTCTTCCAGTCGCTAGTGCAGATCCGTGAGGAGGAGGCCAAAGAGGAGGAGGAGGAGGCTGAGGCCGCCCTCCTGCAGTTAGGCCTGGAGGGTCACTTCTGAGTCCCCGGAGAGGAGGCTTTTGTGCAGACCTAGATGAGAGCTGCTTTCCGTGTCCTTGTGCCGTCATACAGGCCTGCCTCGAGAAGTAAAGACCTAGCCCTGTTCTGTTTTTTGTTGCTTTTTTTGTGGTGGGGGGGCGGGGCAGGGGAGTCAGGCCTGTATATTCCTGTAACATTTGTAAAATTGTTCAAGCGGAGCACCATGAATTTTTGCAAAAAATACAAGTGGGTCATGCTGGCTTAAATGCCAGGGAAAGACTTGGACACAAGTGCTTGGTGCAAGCTGTCATCAAGGCATCCTCAGTTGTGAAAATCATGAACCTGGGACACTTACCATCAAGATATCTTAATTAAATGTGACATTGCATGTTCAGATGTTTAGTACAGAGCCTGGCTTGCAGGAAGTGTCCAGTAATAATGTGAACTGTTAACATTTGTTACTAATACCGTGAATAGTTTGTTTACTGTCAGCTGTTCCTGATTTATATTAATTGGAAAAAATGTACACTTATTAGATGATTTTACTCAGTTTTACAATGCAGATTTCTTTCTCTTTCAACATCTGGATCCGTCTAACTGAATTCTTTGACTACAAAATGGGATGTTAGAAAAAATATGGAGCTGTGAAAGTCAGTTTTTCACTGTATAAGACAGGTACAAATTACCTGGAAGGTTGATCAAACTAGTTACACAGTGACACATTCTCCCATGTCACATCTTTGTCATGGCATAATTCTGTTCATGCTGATTCTAAGTGTTCTAAATTTGAAATTATCAAGTAAATATATACAAATAAAAATAATTTTAAAATTCAAAAAAAAAAAGACTTACATTTGTGGTTAATGTACAAGCTCTCACTGAACTTAGTTGACAAAGTTGTCTTCCATGGGTGTCCGTTAGTTCTGACACTACTGCATGTGTACATGGAACTGAAGAATTCAGAGTGTGGCAGGTGGTGGGAACAATTACGTTCATTAACATGCTGATCATGCAAGCTTTATATGCACGCTTTCTGGGGATAATTCTTGTGTTTTACTTTGTATCGTAGATTTGTTTTCTAAATTCTCAGTCCAAAAAAAGCACACACTTTTGTATGGCATAGATTCTCCAAAAAGCCTGAGTATTTCTCTAATTGACCTCTAGATGGCAGGCTTGAATAAAAGATATTTCCATTTTAAACTTCGGGCTTTCTCAAAAGTTAACTTTGAAGTTGCAATTATGAATGGTCTTGTCTTCTTACAGGCTTTTAAAAAGTGTTATTTATGTTTCTTCTATATTTGTTTTCTTCTTTGTCTCTTACAGAGCCAGAAGACTTCCAGTTTTTTCCTAGGATATTAAAGCCAGTCATGAGACTCTGGAGGCCTCTTAAAATGGAGATGAATGGAAGAAAAACATTTGGGCAAATACTATATTCAAGTGGGATGAGTGTTGTGCAACCCGACTCCATCCTCTTAAGACAGTTACTGTTATTCTTCGTAACACCTTCTGACATTGACGTTATCAAAAGCCTTATAACATTGGTTCTGGATGACTATCATCTATCCACAAATAATGAGGTACATTTCCTTTGGGATGAATTTATCTATTGTACCAGCATACAGCCACTGGAAAAGCAGACGAACATAGAACTCCAACAGGTCATTGGTAGCATCATGGTGTCTAAAATTCTCCCAAAGTAAGTAAAACAATATTTGCTCAACTTAGCTTTTTAAAAGATATATGGCAAAGTACAATACATGCATTACAGAAGTACCACAGTGAAATCCCTTTGTATAATTAATATATGCTAATTTAACAAAAGAATCATGGAAAAGGAACATGAATGCTGAAATGAGAAAAGGATATGTCATATTACTTCTTCCCTTCTAGTTTTATTCGAAAAAGCAACATAGCACCTGTAACCCAACCTACTTAAGGCAGAGACTCAAAGATGATGGTTTGAGGCTGCTCCCTGGGCAAAAATGGGAGACCGTATCTGAAAAATAACTAAAGCAAAAAAGGGATGGGGATTGATTCAAGGGATAGAGCACCTGCCTAGTAAGCGAGAGGCCCTGAGTTCAAATCCCAGTAATACACACTCTCTCTCTCTCTCTCTCTCACACACACACACACACACACACACACACACACACGCACACGAAAGGACTGGTGGCTCAAGTGGTAGAGTAACTGTCTAACAAGCAACAGGCCCTGATTATTGTTTTGGAGCATGAGGGAAGGGTGAGGTGAGGAGACTAATACAACATACTATGAATTGTAAGTATGACTCCAAAAGATTAATACAAAAATGTACTGATTATTTAAAAGAAGTGTGTTTCCACGAGAGGGCAGAGGACGCAACTTTCAGCCCCGATTCCACCAAGTATTTGCTGTGAAATTCAAAGCAACTTGCTTAATGACTTTATGACTCATTCGTCCTCATAGCATACCTGTGGCCACAGACATGGAACAAAGACCAGAAGGGACTTCCTGAACGTTCTGTTGTGCATAAGTCCTTAGACCCTCAGCCAACTGGTGCTAGGATGGGTGGAGTTATAGGAACCGCCAACAATGAGCCCAATTCAGATCCTCACTAGCCTGACAGGTAAGAAAAGATTACATTTAACTTAGAGCAAACATAAAATTTACACATTTAGTGAATGCACAGTCACAGCCGCACACCGCCCACAGGCTTCCTATATGATCATTCTACAGACTTGTGGGCTGATAAGGAGTAACGAAGCACGTTGGTTTGCTGAGTGCATTAGTGAGTCAGCATAGTGAAGGGATGTGCAGAAAAGTGAGCTACTTCGAAATCTACCCTGGATCTTGGTGTCAAAAAATAGCATGGCATTCACAGGTGTCTGAGGAAATACCCACTTATAATGGAGATCTACATTTTGACTTGTCAATATATGTTATTACTATAATAATTAATATGTTGATTATTATATAATGGATATGGATGACAAATACTATCATAATTAATACAACAGTGATGTTATTTTTATTTGAAATGGGTGTTGTGATGAATGCAACCGACCCTTTGCCTCACCAGACCTCTCACCAGAGATGCTAACTAGTAGCCAACTGATGGACTGTTGTTAATTTTTTCTATCAATCTCTGAAGCACAAATGCTAAGAAATACTCCTGAGACATATAAGTAGTGAAAGACAATTAGACTTTCATTATAGAGAGTGGACTGAATAATTTTCACTGGAAATTAAGAGTAATTTCTCCTTTCCAAATCTTACCAATTTTGGAATACTTTTAATAAGAGTTAATATTCAAAGCAACCCTTGAGTTACTCAGTCCTTGTTTCCAGATTCATTCTGTTTCTTTTTGTTGTTGCCTTGGTTTTTAGGCTCCCTATTCTGAATACTAAATTTTGAACCTAGGAAGACAGGGAAAATTCATTGAACACTGAGCAAAACAAGCCATCTCTCTCAAAATTAGAAGAAAATCAAGAAGGCATCACTGAGAGCTGTTCTTTCCAAGTAGAATAACATCTATCAATAACAGCAGTGAACACTGGAGGGCAGTAACATACAGCATATGCAACAATTTTGTTTAACCCTTAATTAAATTAATTAAATAATGGCTGCCCAAGTCACCACTTTGAAAAGGAATTTCTCCCAATAATTTCTGTTGTTCAAGCGGCATCAAGCAGAGATGTGTGGTCTAAAATGTTGACCTTCGGCCAATTGAAAGACCTGATTCAGTTTGTGAATTCAGTAGGTATCTTGACAATGGATGGAGCTTTACAAATTAAATCATTTTGCCCTTTTACTTTTTAGAATCAAGATTGGGACAGACTTTTGGTTAAATCGGTTTCATTTTGTGGTAGGACCAAAAGCTGTGTTTAATTGCTATTTGTTTCCAGAAGTGAGACCACCTGGTGCAGAGGGACAGGAGAGAAGAGGTTTGAGGATTGTGTTCAGATGGTTTCCCTGGCTGTTGTGATGGGCTGGAGCTCAGGGCAAGGGGATGGAGCTTCTGCTTGACAACTGTTTTAGGGCTGTGCTTGCTCTGAGGCAGATGTGGCAAAGGTATGATGCAGAGAAGAGGAAAGGACAACTGGAGCTGCTTGTGGTCTGGGAACAGATGGACTGCAGAGAAGCCTGGAACTTGCCATCCTCAAGGGTTTGGACAAGATAGAAGGCCACATGAGCCTGATGCTGGCAGGACACAGTGGCATCCAGGCCCTGGCTTTCCTGCCACACCCATGCCCTGGATGTTTCAGTTTTTCCCCCGAGTAGCACAACCTCCTTCATTGCCCAGCCAACTGCTCCTGGCTTAGCTTTTCTGGCTGTAGGGACCTAGGATAGGCAAGAGCACTAAAGACCAACCCGAAATGGAGGATCTGACAGGCCTCAAACTTTTGAAAGTTACTGGCTTTTACAAGAGCACAGAAGAGAGAGAAATCTCCAATATTGCATCCTGCTTGAAAACAAGTATAAACTGCAATTTTACCCTGGAAAATAGCTACATAATAATAGCTGACTGGGTAGAGTGCCGAATGGTGGTCAGGCACTGTTCAAAACTCATTCAATCCTTATATGGATATATACCGTAATAATCCCCATTTTATAGATGGGAAATCTGGGATGCACAGATGTTGAATGACCAAACTAAGGGCATACTAGCTGTTAAGTACCCAGGAAGCCTAATCGGAAGCATTATAGTAAGATGTTTATAAAATGAGAGATGCAAAGTTTTCTTCTATGAGTGAAATGAAACTTTGAATTTCAGTAACTGGGTTTGAAGTTAAATCATATGAATGCATGTATTATAAAGTACATAAATGAAAGAGGCTGTTTTACAGAGAATTGCTTAACTCTTATTTGAAACTTATGATAGGATTTTGCCTTTAATTATTTTAACACCATTCCACTGATTTATTAATTTTTATGGATCCTTTACTAGATGTCAAACATCTCTATAGAGGAATACCATCTTTTTAGCATTTAGAATATTTAGCATAGAGTCTAACCCAGAGGAGTATTCAAGAAATTTTTATTAGCTGTTTGGACAGGTTTAATAAATATTTTCACTTCAGTAAATATTCATTATAGTGAAAGTTACTTCTACCAGAAATACTCGTTATACTGGGTATC